TCCAATTACCTTGGCGCGATTTTTAACCCTTTCCGGACCGCCTGACACCCATGGGGTGTCAGGGACCATTTTCCCGAGGATAAGGTTTTTCGACAAAAACTTTTATGTTGTTACATATCTATGTAAGATACTCATGTCGTACGTATGAAAAAACCTAGACTTCAACCTCAAACTAGTCCTAAAATAACTAAAACTAAATGGATTCCACTTTGAGCTCAAAGAAAACAGTTATAAATCATTTGAAAACACTTCATACAACAGAATTTATGACACACGTGCACGTCGTATCTGATGCTATTAAATCCAAACGTTTCGGACACTTTCTGGTCCCTTTTCCCCATTACAACTTATTTTGAACAATTTTCATTCCTGCCTCCCTTTTATGGCCCTATCACTTTCATTATGCAACAGTTTTCTGTCATATTCACTATATATATGTCCTCTTGGGCATGAAAAATACAAAAACGGACAAAGTAATGATTTCAGTGGAAATGCAGGTGCAATATGTTTATGCTCGCCGTGTAGCACGCGCGCCGCCACGGCAAAAGTGCGCGGTCCGGAAAGGGTTAACAAAGTTATGGGAGGTGCTGTACCCTCTCCTTCAAAAGCCAGAAAGTGTCGGGTGCAGACCATACACCACAAGTGACGACGGCCTCCACAAAATGTAAATGTTTTCTGCCAATGAAATGATTAGCCTGTTGCAGTTGTATTCTATCAGTTGTCACTAATTACAACTATCATTTACCAAAAATCAGCTATCACTATGAACCACTACTAACCAGATTTACTTGGGCCGTCGTCAGTTGTGGTGTTTGGTCTGCACCGACACTTTCTGGCTTTTTGAAGGGGAGGTAAGCTATCGCTCCTTGCAATAGCTGGTCGTGTATAGAAATATGCTAGTGCTCCTTTTGTCACCACGCCAGCACATCCCGAGTGAGTATTTTTGAAATGTAAATTTGCATTTTAAATAACAATTACAAATGCACAGTTCCATATCGCGTTCGTGGAACAAAGCCAATGTCCGGTTGCCCTTGCTTGGGAACTATTGCCACGCTCTGTAGAAGAGCTGCGGGTCTCGACGGATCCTTCTGCTCTAACGAGTTTCGTCGTTTTCTACTGCTTCAGAAGTTGCGCCGTCATAGAAGTCCTCCAATTTCACTTCCG